ACACACACACACACACACACACACACATGTATATACATTCAGAGCCAGGCAGTGGCCTAATTAGTGCAAATAGGTCTCTAATTCAAGGCCACAGGCATCACACAGACCATTGTCATGGAGTCCCATCACCATTTTGTGCTGTTTGAGCAAGTTGGGCCCAGTTTGGACTCCAACCAGTGTGTTTAGAGTTGTCCTTGTCAGGACAATGAGACCTTTCCCAGACCTTAGATTTGGGCCATTTATCAGTTCCTGTGCCTGTCTACAGTCCATCTGCTCCCTCCAGCAGATTGAGTGTTGAAGGTCTTTGAGGGATGCCACACACTGGTGAATTTCGTATATCATGGCTTGAGGTACAGTTGCAAAACGACCTAGTGGGTATCTGTACTCTCTCTCACTATTGTGCAAAATCATCAACAACCTAAACAAATGATGTCATGCATCACAGACAGACAATTACATATCTTCCTACCGCCATGAAAAAAAAGAAAAGAAAAAGAAAACAGGAAAACTTGTAAAACTGATGAATGAATAGAAATCTTGGCGAGTCAAATWAGGAGCAAAACAAAATGAAGTTATTAATTTTCCTTTATCAAAAGGTGTGGTATTGATTTTGTATCCACTGTGGCTGATAAAATCCTACAATTAACTTTAGAATGCTCATCCAATGAGGAACTTACTCTCAGTAATTTACAACACAGATGGGACCTGGGTGATTCAGCTTGCCATAAAGAAATGATTACTGTATACAAACAGTTGTGCTGCAGGGCACCTTTTCTCTTAAAACTAATAAAYTTGAAAATTAAGTTTCAAGTTTTTGTCAAAGTGTCTGACAAATTCATAATCAGTGGCCAGTTTAATAGATGAGCCTRCCAATATGCATTAATCACAAATCAGTTTTTTTATTACCTTGAGTTGTAATGTTAAAGCAGAACTCTCATACAAATGCATTTTTTAAAGGAAACATGCTAAACATTTTCTCCCCTGTTGATTGGTATAACTGAAAAGGCTTTAGGCTGCTCAATAATACATTTAAATCACAAACATCTTAAACAYACTGAGGGGACGATTTATCAATACTTAGTGTTTCTAAAACGATGCACACAGAGCTGATTTATTAACAGTATGCATCAAAGATTGCGTCTGTCAAATGAGCAAAATGGAAACCGTATATGGAGAGAAGTCAGTCTCACAATGTGAACGCACACACACACCACGTTTCAAGCACACAACCAACAAGATTTGGTGCTCGCAAGCCTTATTAGTCCGATTTAATTTAACTTTGTTTGCCTAGAAAGTTCAATTTGTTTGGGGACYAGGTGTGAATGCATAATWGAATTCTGATGTGAACYAAAAAATAAGCAAACCCTGGACCACTGTGGTAGTGGTGCCTAGGTCTCAGTTTGGTTGAATTGAGCTCCGGTGTGGTTCAGATGCATGTGTGAAAGCCAAGCAGACCGGAGACCGCTCCAAGAGCAGGAAGTGAACTACAGTGCAGGGCATTCTGCATAATATTATTAATAAAGTGACTCATATTGTATCTTGTATTTACCTTGCTTGACAKCTGTATAAACTGGACATCACTGCTATGAAGTTAAAGGTGCTTTTACTCAGTGTACGCCACCTCATACAGAGCTCTCTCAGCCGCCTTGTGTGAAAAACGACATTCTCCATGGTCT